GGATTCAACATCACCTCTTTCCTCTCCATTACACTGCCGCTCCCTTTCCTCCATGGTGACAGAACCTGCTGGAAAACACAAGCACCCAAATATTACCAGACGCTGCCACTGCAACTGCAGTTTGAGTTACATATCAAAGACAAATATGAACAAACTATTCAAAATGAGTGCTCAAGGCAAAAAAGGGCAAATAGATATCACTATATTAATCAAGACAATTGTTTTTTATTACAAGTTTCTGGAATGTTATGTTTAAATATGCAAATGAGGCATTATCTAATTGAAAATGCACTCATTTGAATACATTTCAAGAATATAAATCTCAAGCCACATTCAAAACTCTTGTTTCATTTTGTTGACATACTTTTTTTTTACATAGGGGATTTTGGATTTCTGTTTTCATTACTCCATAAATCAGAAAATACTGTCAACAACAACAACAACACACATACATTGGGCAAAACAGCATGAAAAAAAATCATGAAAAAGGTTTTTTCCTATAGTGTTTTGCCATAAGGACAAATACAGTGGCAAAGCAGCCTGTATTCCTTTTTAATTAAAAAAACAAAACAGCAAAAAATAACATAAGCCTTAAAGCTTAGGAAAGTACCTAAGTCATGTGTCTATGAAAATTATCCCTCCATCTCATTCTCACTCACCTTTGCTAGTTTCTGAATAGCCCAACACATGATATGCAGGAATAAAATAAATTTTGTGGCCACAAATTAAGACTATGTTTCCACAACTTATTCATTAGTTCCCTCATTTTAGTTCAATTATCGCCACGATTGATTAATTTGTTACTTTGTTTTAGGTACACCCTTTTCTCATTTTAATTAAGTCCAGTTGTGGCTACAGTTCCCCTAAAATGAGTAAATAAATGTCAAAAGTCACAATGACAACAGATCTTTTATTCCATACTGTAACGTAACAGATTATTCAAAATGTAAAAATGTAGGGCGGGACTTATTCTGTGCATCGGTTGTTGATTGGATGATGAGATGTGGGTGTCACTCAAAAGTGGGTTTAAATGGAGTAATGATTGGAGAAGTCCTGCATACGTCACCTGAAGAAGTCTGCTATTTCATCAGAAGATCCAGTTATAATATGCACTATAACATGGAATTTAGTAACTAGAAC